TACCCTATGTCTGCAAGTGTAAAGACCCGGACATATAGTGGTGTATATCTGCGAACATTGAGTGCGATACGGACCACTCATATCTGACCTATTAGAATGTCTTATCAATATGCCACTACTAACAGTAAAGCAACACTTCTCTCTATCTCCCCCTTTCCCATATTTCCTGGGTGGGTATGTGGCACGTGCTTCACGTACTGTTACAGTCTGGTTGAAAGCGGGAGTCATTCGGAGTTCATGTTTCAGCCCTGCCCTTTACTTGAAGACATAGCAGATACACTCGAGGCTCTGTTCGACAGGTATGCCCTTCCGACAAGCCTCGAGCACGCTCCCGGGTGTTATCCACATAGTGAAAACAGAGTACTCGAATCTATTTATAGCTATACACCGTATGTAGAATGAAAACAGAGTACTCGAATCTATTTATAGCTACATACAATATGCAGAATGATGAAAGTGTATCCCAAAAAAAAAGACATCGGGTGCATTCGGTGCTCATCCCTACCTGTATTGTCTGTGTGTTGTGTATAATAGGCACCCGCTACTTGTTGGTTGTGGTTGTTGGTGTGGTATCAATTGCGATACTTGCCCTAGATGTGTAAAAGTCACCCAGTCCTGCTTATAGTCTATGGGGCCGGGCCGGAACAGTGGATATGCTGACGGTATGATAGTACTCTGCAGTATCTGCGGAGTGTAGTATATATATATACATCTATATATATAGTTCTTTGTACAGTATATATATATATAGTTATGTATACATGCACCTGTAAGCTCGTATATACAAGCAAGTAGGGAGCACGGGTAAGCTGGCTGGTACGCTCGCGCTACCCCTGCACACTGCCCCCGGGAGAGTGTGTTCGTCGGTTCATATACACATTGGTAAAGGTGGATGTTAATCTACCTAGTGGTGTCACAGTCATTGTGCGAGGAAGTGTGGACGGGGGCTAGAGCGGCTCTCTGGCCCAACAGACATGCCTATGTGCACGATACTCTGCAGACCTAATTGCACGCTTGTCCTGGTACACACCCATATACACACTTGTCCACACCCATATGCCATACATATGCACTCATTGTATTATATCTCTAGACCCATACACATAGCACCCGTCCTATTGCATCTGCAGACCCCTACGCTTGTTGGATCTGGGCTGTGGCACTGGCAGAGACTCTCTGTGGGCGTCTCGAAGGGGCTGGTATTGCACGGCAGTCGATAATATTGGGTGGCGATTGGACCTGTTGAGGGATGTGGGTGCCATGCACGGGTTGGATGTCCACACAGTAACCGCTGATGTTCTAAAGGTACGTTGTATGTGTGTGTGGTGGGGGGTGTATGTGTGTGTGTGGGTGGGTGTGTGGGTGTGTGGGTGTGGGTGTGTGTATGTGTGGGTGTGGGCGTGTGTGTATGTCTGAGTGTGGTAGTGGTGGTGGTTGGGGTGGCGATTGGATCTGTTGAAGGATGTGGGTGTCATGCACGGATTGAATATCCACACAGTAACCGCTGATGTTCTAAAGGTACGTGGGATGTGGGTGGGTGTGTATGTCTGAGTGTGATGGTGGATTGGATATTTGAGGAGGAGAGGGTGTGGTACGTGGTGGTGATGAAGTAGTGTGATGTGGCTGTGTGTGACGTAGAATATTACGATACTATAGTTGCTACGCTAGGAGATGGGCCCAAGCCGCTTGTCAAGAGTAAGTAGTTATGTTGTAGATAGAGCGTAGTTTAATGTCTTGTCATGAGCAGGTAGCTATGTTGTAGGTAGAGAGTAGTTTAACGTCTTGTCATAAGTAGGTAGCTATGTTGTAGGTAGAGAGTAGTTTTAATGTCTTGTCATGAGTAGGTAGATATGTTTTAGGTAGAGAGTGGTGTATTGTCTTGTCATGAGTAAGTAGCTATGTTGTAGGTAGAGAGTGATGCATTGTCTTGTCATGAGTAGGTAGATATGTTGTAGGTAGAGAGTGGTGTAATGTCTTGTCATGAGTAGGTAAATATGTTGTAGGTAGAGAGAGATTTATGTCATGTCACTATATATATATA